CCAAATGACGTCTGTGGTCGATGGGTACATATAGGTAAACCACCAAACTCCGAGCAAAGGGAGGGAAAGTTAGAGGATCAACAAATTTGACAAAATGATGGTTGATTTACTCTCTTAACTTGGACTCCTCAAGTTCTGGCCAGCTTCTCCAACCAGAAGCACCAAAAGAAGAAGAAGCTGCAGCTTCATCCCACGCAGAAGGTTTTGGGTCAAAAGAAGAGCTTCTAATATCCATGTTTGCAAAATTTTGGGTTAAAGAATTGTGGACAATAGGTTCGTAATCCAAAGGTTGATAGTTTGCAAAAACTTCCATGACTTGAATATAGAAAAGTGGGTAAAGGTGGCTAATCAATGCATGAAGGTTCTTTCAAGGACGAACAACATTATCAAACAACTCTTCATATGCTTGATTGAGGTAAGAAAAAGTTTGCTTGGCCATGAGAGTTGTACCAGTCTTTTCGAATACTAAGATAGTGGGAATGTTCAAAGGATAAAAGAGAATTTAATGCAAATGTTTTATTGATGAATGACGGTTGCATTTTTGAAAAAAATGCAAAGCCCATGCACGTTCTAAGACATGGATAAAATACCTTGATCCACTAATGTTTCCAAGTATTGAGTATATTAGTGCGGTGGATAATGTTGGTTACATATTTTGTATAAGCCAATCACAGTTCAACAAGAGGCAGGATAAAGACAATACAGGAAGATAATTCAAATCTTCAATCGTAATCACACACGTGGCAGTTAGTATTGGTTATTGTGGATCTGCATAGCACTGGATCAGCAAAGAGATGCAAACTGACGTGGCTTTAACAGTTACTCATATGTTTAAATTTAAAATCATGAGGGAAGCCTAACTGCAGACATGGCATAGTGGAACTAACTGTGAGGAAACATGATCAGCGATCATGGAGGGATGGTTCGACGGTTAGAAACTCTTTTTGACGGTTGTCATTGAGAGGTATAAATAGTAAAGAAGGCCCCAGAAAGAAGCCCAGACTTATATCCAAAAAATCAGTTTTTATCTACTTTATTTTCCTTCCAGTTTTTATATTTCTGTATTTCAAATTCCTGCACTGCACTTCGTTCATAGGAGTAATTTCAAGTAGTTTGTTACTGTAAACTTTTACGAGGCTGAATTGGATCATTGTAAGTCTTTCATTTTTATTTAATGAAATGTTACAATTGTTCTTCATTTAATCGTTGTTTGCTTAATTCTCCTAAACAAAGCCACCAGTAAAAGTCTTGTTCATTGAGATTGAAAGAACTAAAACACAATCGTTTGATAATTGGTTGGCAATTAATCTTTTGTAAGGATTGATTGATCCTTGCTGGCACGCTTAAAATTACAATAATAACTTTCGAAAGCCAAAAAACGAACAGTTAGAATTTCCCTTTTTAGTTTTAAAGTCTTTACAAATATTTTTGTGAGTTTAAACTCGTATTTTATTGTTTATAATAAATTTTTAAATATTTTAATCAATATTTTATAGTTTTTATATCCACTCAATTTAAATACATTTAAAACGTATAAAAATTATGATTTGTTTTAAATAAATTACTAAATACTAACATATATATGTATATACACATATAAAAAAAAATACAATTTTTTTTAAATTTTTAGATCCACTCGATCGTTACATCTATACAACCAAAAAGAGTTTATTGAACGTGAGATCTCATACCACAAGGGTGTTACATAACCCCTATGCCAAATACCGTAGTTGATATGTTCAATCTAAATACAAAGAATCCATCTGATTTCATTTTCAAAGTTTGTTTTCACTAAATATTAATTTGGCAAAAAATAAGAAAAATTTTAAACACATTCATCAGTGCATATTATTTTCTTTTTTATACGTGTAAAATAATTTCTGAAAATTTAAAAATATCTTTTTGATTTTTAATTTCACCAAATCAATTTTAGTATTTTTTTCAGAAAACAAATACTGAAAACGAAACCCACGGTTTTGCTTTTGCTTTTGTTTTTGTTTTTGTTTTTTTTTTGGGGGCACTTTCAATGTCAAGTAAAAAAAATTCTTCATCACTTTGTAGTAATTTGCCACAAATACACATTCAACAATTACAAGAGAAATGAAAACCTTTATTCCATCTATCAAGTGGGGAGATAACCTCTGTCTCTCTTATTCCCCCAATAAAATTCAAAAAAAAAACAGAGAATGAGAGAGACAATTCCACTCACTGCCTTACATTATATGCCTAAATAAAGTGATTTGGTGAAACATATGGGCCTAAATAAATTAAAAAATGGAATAAAGTGAGAGAGAATGAGAGAGTATGTTTTTTTGAATCCAAATGGCAAATTACACTGAATCCAAATCACTTTATTGGATTCAGTGCAGTGTAATTTGCCATTTTTTTTAATTTATTTAGGCCCATATTATATACAGAGAATAGATATAGATGATCTGAATTCCAATCCAACATATTCCAATTCCACTCACTGCCTTACATTATATGCCTAATATTGAAACAAGTTGTCATTACAATTGCAACAAAAAGTGAAACATATGGGCCTAAATAAATTAAAAAAAAAAGAAAAAGAAGCATATATATAATCACACTGAATCCAATGGCTCAACATCACTAGTATTTTTCGTGTACACAAGCGGAACCAACTCCCCAGCAGCACAAGCCTCATCACCCACAAAAACATACTCTCTCACCCACAAAACTGCATGAACCACAATCACCGGCGTCGTCGCAGCCACCGTCACAAAAAAATGAATCGCCGCGCTCGTTAATATCATCTCAACCATGATGACAATCACAACCAAGAACAAAACTAGGCGTTTATCGATGATCTCATGAAGCAATTTTGATTCAGGCAATGACTGTACCAATAACAAGTACAAGCAAGTCAAGGTGGACGTGCCCATCAAGAACAACAGTGAAATTTTACGTTGTGGAATAAGGGCAATGGAGAGTACAACCAAAATGAACATTGTGTAGTATGCTTTGAATTGGTTTAAGTTTCTGATAATTCGTACCGCGGCTGCTTCTGGAGTGGTGGGGAGGTTGAATATGAGGGTAAAATTTTGGCGGCTTTTTCGGGTTGAGGCTTTGGATTCGTCGGGTGGAGGAGTGGTGGAGGGAGGTGAGGAAGTGGTGGTGGTGGGTGATGGCCTGTGTGTGGTGGTGTTGGTGCCATAACTAGCCATGACTTTGGTAAAGAGATGAAGAGGAGAGTGGTTTTTAAAGGACTTGTCAATTGTGTGGTCTGTGGAATTTTTATGTAGTGAAGTTTCTTAGAAAATTACATTTAACATTTGGTCCAAGTTCTTGTTAGACTTTTCTCCTAAAACTATGATAAGAGAGGTTATCAACAACTTTAAAAACTAAAAACAAAAATAAGTTTCAGAGAGATGATGTGAGATGAATTTTTAATATTTTTTCTCTCAATTTTAATGTAGATTTAACCTGCAAGTCTCTTCATGATAGTTTTAATACTAGAATTATTGAAGACATTCAATTTAAAATTAATTGAAAATAAATAAAAAAAAATTAAAATATATGAATCAAATTTAAATGAGTAATAATATGAGACAAATTTCTGATAAATATTATAGAGTAAAATTAATTTTAGGCGTGCTATAAGGGATAATGTGATGGTGAAAGTCAACTAGCAATAATTAAATGAGTGCAAGACTTGAATGGAAATGCTAGTCTTCTCTCAATGTTCATCTCTAAGACCAAGTCATCTCTGGAGCAGGCACAAAGAAGAGTCCTTCAAAATCCAGAGGCTTCGCTGGTGGTAAAGACTTATCGCGTGGAGTGTGCTCCTTTTACGATTTTAAGTTCGAAATTTGTTAGGTATAAATATTTTTTTGGAATCAGTTTATATAAGACTTTGCTTTCTTGGCTTTAATTGAGATTTCTGTAAGTGAATGATGAGATTGGTACTACGAATTAGTCAGTCCAATAAACTGGATGCCAAGTTATTAAAAAAAAAAAAAAAAAACCTTCAATGTAGAAAATGTATATTTATTTATTTATTTATTATATGAAAAATGTAGGATTTAGAAAAGGGGAATTACACTGACATTGTATAACAAAAAATATTTATAAAAAAGTAAAAAATAATATAAATATTAGTAATTAATATCATACAATTTTTTACTAATATATAATATTTTTTTAAAAAAAAGTACATTGAATAATAATTTTTCGTTTTAGAATTATTTTGTACTCAATTTGACATATTGACTTCTTATTCCATTTTCTACTATATGATAAATAATGGTATATATCCTAAAAAATGTGTATGATATTGAAATATCAAAAATGTCATAACTGAATCCTCTTCAATCATAACTAAAAATAAAAAGAATATTAACCAAGTACCACATAAAGTATAGTTAACGAGATTTTGAATTATAACTAAAATAATGTCAACCTTACAATGAATTATAACTAATATCACAATACTAATTTACAATCAAGTCACAACTAACATTACAATAAATCATAATTAAATATCACAAACTTTATAATTGAGACATATGTATACACTCTAAAAAGAACGTGTATCATAAAATTTCTCTTAATAATGAATGAAAGGTATATTACATTGGATTAATTACATGACGCACTCATTACAAAAAAAATATTCTCCCTTTTAGTCCGTGATTGATTTTATGAACCATTTTATATCCTAAACCATAGTCATTATTGTTCAATTATAATCAAAAGTAAACTGTAATCTTTTCTACCAACTCTTTAAAACCTCATTGTGAAAACAATGGCTGGTAATGTGGCCAACATTGCAACCACCCATTTTTATGAAAGGTGCGAGTGGGAAACACTATTTTAGAATAATCTTTTATTTTATTATTGTTTTTCTCGAGTTAAAATCTTGACTCCTACTGTTACTATTATTATTAGAGTAATGTTCTACAAAAATAATTCGTATACAAGATTACAAGATTTTTATACAAAATAATCTAATTAATTTATAGCCATTCATTAAATAATATATATATATAAGTCATAGCTGCATAAATGTCATTGTCACATAATCGTGTATAACTTTTTAGTATTGTGAGTCTCAATTACTACTACAACAATTGTCAATAGAGACTGATGCGGCCCAAATCATTGACCTAATACAGAACGTACCGAGCTATAACTCCCCCTTCAGAGCCCTCATTGGGGATACAAAGTTCCTGATGAAACGATGCAATTGTACCCTTGGACACACATTGAGGGAAGGCAATAAAGTTGCTGATATGCTGGCCAACCTAGGAGTGGCACAGACTGAACATGTGGTGATGCTTGAAGACCCTCCCCGAAGTTGTTAGAGCTTTGGTTGTGGAGGATATGAATGGAGTTAGTTTTGTGAGGGCTTAGCCCTTTGTTTGTACTGCTTCTTTTTTCTTGTGTTTCTTGTTTTCATCTGGATCAAAAAAAAAGAAAAAAGAAAAAAAAAAAAACGTGTTAGTAAATCATGAAAATAAATATATTTATATAAAATTGTTAGTATATCCAATACTAAAAACAGATAGTCAAAGCCAATTTTTGATAGCACTATAATGTAAAAATGTCAAATTTTAACGATGTTGTTTTATTCATGCACTAGCCATTTCTTCAACCAAAATAAATAAATAAATAAACAAAAATGTTATTTGTGGATCCCATTATGAAAGAGAAAGAGAAGAGTTCTAGTCAAAATTTGGCATTTTGCTAAATCTTATGCCAAATTTAGCACAATATTTGACAATATATATTTTAACAACTCATTTGACATCTCATTAAAACTTATTTTTAAAATGAAGTTATTATAACTTAGCAATAAACAAGTATTATAACAACTCTATTGGAGTGTGTTTTCCTAGTACAAACTTGTCAAACATGGTCTCTCCCCTTGAGTGGATATGTGACATGTCAATGCTTATATGCTAAATTGCTTTTCAACCCTACCTCCAGCCTCTTTTTGGGTGAGATGCCTATGATAAACATCAAGTTAGATAAAGAACAACCACCTCTCTCTTTATCAATCTAAAAATAGGTTAATCCTTCTCCTAATCTTCATCAGGTTGTTGGGTAAATGATGGGTTCATTCATCAATAGCCCAAGGGCTTTGCAAGCCTAGGCTATCCTTTGGGTTTATTGGTTCCTCTTGAGTGAGCTATATTTGTTTTCTTTAGAAGAATTTTCATATAACATTATTATTTTGGTATTCCTTGTTTGAATTGGATCCATTGTCTTATTGAAATTTTTCTTTTTTGCTATACTGCTTCTTGTCATATTTTTGTAGTTTAAGAAAGAAAAAAAAAAGGGGGTACAGTTCTATGGAGAAACTTACAATAGTAGGAGCAATAGAAGTGGGAACCTCCTCAAACCAAGCTTGGAAACCCGTTGAGTGAAGAGCCATCTGAGAAAGAAGGTGAGCCGCCTGGCTCTGTAAAATTCTACGGACTTCATCAATCGCATCCCCTTCAATGGACAAAATTCTCAGACTTGACAGCATTCACAACAGAAAGAGAATCATCCTCCAAACAAATACAAGACAATCCCAAATTTTTAGCAAATTCAATTGCCCATAAAACTCCCAAAACCTCAATATGGTCTCTGCATCAAGGGCGCACTATCCACACAAGATCCCATCACCTCCCCCCCCCCCCCCCCAAAAAAAAAAAAAAAAAAAAAAAAAAAAAAAACCCCCACCTCCTTCATAAGTTCTCAAAACACCAGCAGTACCATCTCACATAGCTACTTCCCCCTCGCTAGCTGAACGCTTCTGGTCCGTGAAAGTAACATTGTTGTGATTATATCAGATAGCACTGGCCAATGTAAAGAACAACTCAAGAGCCTCAACCCCTGGAAATTTTTGAACCTCCAAGACCCAAAGAACAGCATCACCCCTATCCTTAAGATGCCCCCAACAGCCAAAACTGTGACTTTCAGACATCATCCACAACAACACAATCATGCAAGCAGTGAACTACCACACAACCAATTTAATTTTTGGAAGTTGCATAAGCCAGATACAAGACTAAAACCATTACACTCGCTGATTGTTTGAGTAGACCCCTCCACTGTTTGTATTCTCCCAATCAATTCCAATGGCGTGCTCTGAAACTCTAGCATCAGCACAAAAATTCTACTTGTACCTCGGCCCAGCAACAGAAGGTCCAGCCAATCTGCTCTGTAGATCCGTCTCATATTCTCTCTCTGTTTGCACTCCATGACCATTGTTCACACCTTGATTGAGCCCAAGCAATGTTGTCAACCCATCTCCAACCAGGTCTCACCTGTGGTCAGCTCTAGGGTCACTGAAATATTTTGTATGATTTACAAATGCTTTGAATGATTGTTCCAGCAAATTCAAGGACATAAACAATGGTTTTTTAAAAAGCCCCTGCGATTTTAAGATAAAATTCTCAAATTCAAGTAGTTTTAAACTGATATGTTAAATTCAGGTTGTTTAGTCACAGAACTTTAATGTTCAACTTTTGAAAACACAACTTCATTAAAGTCGCATTTGCAACGCGACCGGGAAGGGAAGCCTGACATAGATATTGATTTGAACAAAGGGACTTAAACTGTTACCAAAAACCAAACAAGAGATGGAAAACAATCGATATCGTGTTTTGAAAATTAAGTTCAAAGTCTTTTTTTTTTTTTTTTTAAAAAAAATAGTTATAAATGGGGAAATTGCAATTCAGTGGAAGTATTCAAAAAAAAAACAAAAATCAAATTAGTGGAAAACTTTATCAATTTTAATAATCAAAGTTGTAAACTTTTCCATGAATTTGTAAATATTTTGTGAAGATTCCACTGATTTGCAATTTTCCCTATATAAATTCAAAACAACTCACATCTGAAAAATAAGTTTTTTAAAAGAAAGTTTGGCAACTCCATAAAACATCATATCCTAGATTTACAAATAGTTCTGGGATAGTTGGAACACCAAGACATCATAATATGATAAATATTCTTAGCTAAGTATGTTTAAATGTATTTTCCTCTTCAAAACATAGTCCACAGTTGGAAGTTGGTAATTCTACTCCATAGTTAAAAATATAGGCAGTTTTTTTAGTGACAGATTCTTGCAACATCTGCTTATGGATTTAGAATTCTAATAAACCCCTTACAAAATTCCTATAGGGTATTTTCTTTTGTGTGAATATGAGTGCCATTCAAAAAGATATATATATATATATATATATATTTGAAGTAGTGTGAAAAAGAAAGAAGATGAATCAGCCTTGTTTGGGGCAACTTATAGGGATTATGATGGCCTTTTTCTTTTATTATTTTTGAATTTGTGCTAGAGTATTTGGTGAAGTTTTTGCTTATACAGCTTAAATTTTTTTTAATTGATTGTTAGGAAGTTAGGAAAGAGATGTTTTTAGCTTCTACTTTCAGATTATAAGGTTTCAACTTACAATAGGCTGCACCAAATAGACTTGACATATCTTAATTTTTTGCCCTTTTGGAATTCTTTCCCATGGATGGGCCATGTGCAGTTGTTTTTAATGTTGGGATTTTCCTTATCTACTGTGTTGCTTTGCATGTTGTTGTAGGGTTTTATGATTTCTCACAATACTTGATCATTATGATATGTTGAGAGAAAGAAGTAAAAATGAGCATCACTATACCTGGATAATCTCTTTTTGAACTCTCAACAAGGAGCAGCAAAATCTAGCACATTGCAGAGAATCACCACAACCAAAAACCACCTTATCTTTTTCTTCATGTCTAGTGTTCTATTGAGAACAAAGTATACAAGAATGCTGCCCCTTAGCATTGGCCTCTTAACTAATTTCAATCTCTATCTACAATTCTCATCTTAATCAGTGAATTGTTTTTCTTGCATAAGTTCAATTTCTAAACATGAAACTCCTTTACATGATCACAAATGAATTCTCCTGATTAGATGCAACATCTCCAAGCTTTCTTTTTTTCTTTTTTTTTTGGTAGTTGATGAACTTGACTCTCATAGCGAGTTTCTCAATCCTTCCTTCCCTATAGCAGATCAACGTTTGGGTTACAAACTTTCACTTTCATCTCATCATATAGCAACTCCATTACCTTGTAAATCTCTTCGGAATATAGGTGAACAGAGTCCCCAGCATGAAATTCATGAACTTGAGCATCCATCTCAATCCAACTACAACCAGGAGTTTTGGTGACACCTTTCTGTCTCATCATCACTCTCATCCTCGCCGAATCATCCCACCTTTTCAAATCTGCGTATATCTGTGATGAGATAACATAGTTTCCAGAATTTGAAGGCTCCATTTCAAGAAGAAGCTTCATAACCTTCTCACTAACATCAAAGTTTCTGAGTTTCTGACAGGCACCAAGCAATGCACCTAACATGACTTCATCGGGGTTTTCAGGCATCTTCTCAATGAAGTCCCATGCTTTGTACAACTGTCCTGCACGTGCCAAAAGATCAACCATGCAAGAGTAATGCTCAATTTTCGGGACCAATCCAAAAGATGAGCTCATCAAGTTAAATAACCGCTGACCCTCATCAACCAATCCAGCATGCACACATGCAGAGAGTACTGCAACAAATGTGATATCATTTGGACGGGCAGCCTCACCCTCCTCTGACATAGACTTAAATAGCAATAACGCCTCTTGGGCTCGTCCATTAAAAGCGAGTGCAGAGATTGTGGCATTCCAAGAGACTTCATTTTTCATGGGCATTCTTTCAAAAACTCTAAGAGCATTTTCCATGCTCCCACACTTCGCATACATGTCAATTAAGGCAGTAGCAACATAGATATCATGTTGTAAGCCTCTTTCCAAAGCATATGCATCAACCGACTTTCCAAAGTCAAGGGCTCCGATTGAAGCACAAGCAGACAACACTCCAATCAATGTGATTTTATCCGGGTTAACCCCTTTAACTCTCATAGAGTTAAATAATGAAATAGCTTCATCCGACAATCCATTTTGCGCATACCCAGTTATCATAGCATTCCAGGTGACCACATCTTTTTTCACCATTCGATCAAAGACCCCCCTTGCTGACAACAAATCACCACATTTGGTATACATATCAATTAAAGCTGACCCAACATAAGAGTTCAGCTGCATTTTATTGTTTACAACAAACCCTTGAACCCACCTTCCCAAATTCAAATCCCCCAAGTCACCGCACGCCCCAAGAACACTCACTACAGTCATCTCATCCGGCTCAAAACCTTCATCCCTCATCTTCCCAAACACCGCCACCGCATCCCCTGCAAAACCCATCTTTGAGTACCCTGAAATCATCGAATTCCACGACACCACATCTCTCTCCGAAATTTCATCAAACACTTTCCGTGCACAACCCAACTGGCCACACCTCGCGTACATTGTGATCAACGAGTGACTCACATGACCATCAACACTCAACCCATTCTTGAAAAGCACTGAATGAGCCAACCTGCCATGATCTAACGCCGAAAGATTAGCACACGCAACAAACAAAAATGGGTAGGTAAAATTATTAGGTTTTAAGCCTGAAAACTTCATTTGGTAATAGAATTTTAAGGCAAGATCGAATTTTTGCCATGTAGTTGTTAAGCCACGAATCATGATATTGAAAGCATAGTCGTTGGGTAGAGGTATGTGAGAGAAGAGAAGCGAGGCATAGTTGAAGTCTTTGAGATGGATGGATTTGGAGAGTAGGAAATTGGGTTTGTGAATGGAGTTTATGAGCATCTGGGTGTGGATTTGTTGCAATGTCTTGGTGGAAAAAACACATTGTTTCAAGAGAGATAAGAGTTTTTCAGTGAGAAGTTGTTTTGGGTGGTTTGGAATCATAAACATTGATTGTTTGGAAGTTGAGAATGGCGGGAAATGAAGCGTCAAGGTGTTCTATCCTTCAGCATTGTTTGGGTATGCACAGCTGTCACTTTATCCACCTCAAATTAAAGAAAAGGGAAATACGCATAATGAAAAAAATATTATGAATATGGTAATGAATTATTCTCCATATTTAAATTGCACATATAATAAAATAAGACATACTAATTAAAAGATAAAAAAATTTCATAATATATTTTATGATATTTTTTTCATGATTCTTAATATTATTTTATAAAAAATGATAAATTATTTGATGTTATTTTTTTTTAATACAAACACTCTTTGCGTTTTAAAAATTAAATCTTTTAAATTTTTTTATTAATTTAATCCTTCTAACCTCTTTGAGGTTTTTTTTGTATATATAATACAAACACTCCACGCATTTTAAAAATTATATTTTTTAAATTTTTATTATAATTTAATCCTTCTATTAATCAATTTTTAAATTAATTAATAAAATAAATTAGTATAAGAAATTAATTTTTTTAATCTTCTCTCTCTCAAAGAACAAACCAAACCCACTACAACCTCTCCACCATCAACTACCTCCAAACCCACTATCATCAACCTTGTTTGACCTTCACTGCCACCATCACCTACTTTCAATTGAGATCAACATAAAATCGACAACAAAGTTCACTATTTAATGTTGACACCAAAACATTTTTTAAAAAAATAATTACTAGATAAATAAAGAAAATCTATAGAGAATTACAAAAAAAATTATTAAACAAACACCAGATGGGGGTGTAAGGCGTGAAGGACTACCTTCTATCCCTCCCATGGCGGATTTGGAGCCCCAACGACATAACTCCAGGAGGGATACTAGGGGGAGGCGGATTAACAGCCCCCGTCACTCTCATTCACAAAGTCCTGACAGGCAAAGGCGGAGGAGCGCAGACTTGATCAACAGGATTATACGAGAAGGTTTATTTCTTTCCCGTACAATTGGCGCCGTCTGTGGGAACTACAGACAAGACAAAACCTCTTGATCAAGTTTTACCTTTTTAGGAACAATGGCGCACAATGAAGATTTACCACAATCCGCCATCGACGGGCAAACACTAGATGGGGGTGCAAGGCGTGAAGGACTACCTTCTATTCCTCCCATGGCGGACTTGGAACCCCAACGACATAACTCCAGGAGGGATACTAGGGGGAGGCGGATTAACAACCCCCGTCACTCTCATTCACAAAGTCTTGACTGGCAAAGGCGGATGAGCGCAGACTTGATCAACAGGATTATACGAGAAGGATTAAACCTGAAAGCACAAACGTGAGCTAGCCGGCGGGTGTGTGCCGGAAACCTCTCCGATGCCTAAGTCAGTAAGCTTGACAAAAAGACAAAAGCTCTGTGTATTCAGAAAACAAAGTTGTGTTACCTCTCCATAGGTGATGCTTGTGAGCTTTTATAGGTTTCGTGTGGCACAATCCAAGTAGGACTCTTACTCCTCCATGTAGAGTCCTCCTAGGATTCATACTCCTGAAGGATAATACTTATCCTTTAACACCCCCTCACTGCTTAAACCAAGTGAGATGGTTTTACCATGGTCAAGTTCTAACAGGACCGAGGTAATCATGGTTATGCTGAGCCGTAGAGTAGGCCGAACCATCTTTAGTTCGGTTCTCCTTTTCACTACTCCTTATCTCGGTTCCTCATGTACAAAGAATGGTGTGGTTAGACCGACCTACCGAGTAGCAAGGTTCTGACCAGTCTAACTACAATACGTCATGACCGGGCTAACTCTGAGACCGGTCTAACTTCAAAGCGTCTTCAAACCGGCCTAACTCCAAGTCGCTTCCGAACCGGAGTAACTTTACATCTCTCTCGGGCCGGAGTAACTTTACGGCCTTTTTACTCAACTCTTAGTACTGTGGCCCATAACGGCCCATTAGCCAGCTCGGCCCAATTTTCATATAAATTACCCTCTCATATATTATTATACTATTAAATGTCTAGGTAATGCTATGATACACAACTTTTTGTGGTATTAATTATCATAAATATTATAATTAGATCTTTTTCAGTCATAACTAAAATAATAGCTATAACCAAATACTGCATAAAAATATAACTAAATATCTTTTGAATCATAATGAAAATAGTATTATAATCAATAATTATAACTAATATCATAATATGTCATAACCAAATACCACAACTGAGACATATAAAATTTTCCTAAACGGTAAATTGTTTCACAATTTTATATATAGATAATATATAAAAACTTTTAGAGAAATTACACACTAGGGATATGTTAGAGAAAAAAAAATATTAAAAAAAAGTGATGAACTTTATAAATATTACTATTTTGAAATAATTTTTCAAAACACCAGTTGAATAGTAATTTCCAATTTTTTTTCCCTATTATGATGTATATATATATATATATATAATTGACAAACAATTTACGGTTTTGAAAAAAATTATATGCTTGAGTCGTGATTTTTGGTTATAATTTATTGTAGTGTTAGTTATAACTATTGGTCGTAATATTATTTTGGTTATTATTTAAAAGATATTTAGTTATACCTTATGTGGTGTTTACTTATAACTATTTTTTTAAGGGGGATGCACCAATAAATCCCAAATTAATAACTTATATACTGTTTAGTCCTAATCAAAACACCAGTTGAATAGTAATTTCCAATTTTTTTTCCCTATTATTATGTATATATATATATATATATAATTGACAAACAATTTACGGTTTCGAAAAAATTTATATGCTTGAGTCGTGATCTTTGGTTATAATTTATTGTAGTGTTAGTTATAACTATTGGTGGTAATATTATTTTGGTTATTATTTAAAAGATATTTAGTTATACCTTATGTGGTACTTAGTTATAACTATTTTTTTAATTATGACTGAAAATGATCTAATTATAATATTTGTAATAATTAACAGCACAAAAAGATGTGTACCACAATATTACCCAAATGCTTAATAATATTATAATATATGTGTTAAATGATTTTTTTGTAATTCTAAACAAATTTTCTTTACTCATTTAGTGATTTTTTTAAATATATTTTAGTGTCAACATTAAATAATGAATTTTGTTGCAGAGTTTATGTTGATCTCAATAGAAAGTGGGTAGGATTGCAAAAATGACCTGCGGGCTCGTGGACGGCCTGAAACTCACCCTCAACTTGGGATGGGCCTGACTCGGTTAGGCCTGGGCCTCAGCTGTCATTTTGAAGCTTGACTTGGCCCATCGGTCTGCTCAAGGCCCACTAAAAACTCGACCCGTCCAAAGCCCAGTGTCATTTTTATTGAAAAATAATAAAATTTTGGTAGAAAAAATTTATAAAAAAAAAAACAAAAAAATGTTCAAGCCCACCCAAGCCTAAGCTTAAGCCCAAGCCCACCTGTCCGTTTGCTCGCCTAAGGTCGAATACCCCTGGGCCTGGGCCTAATTTTATGGCCCGTGGACTGGCCTGGTTTAGCTTGAATTTTGGCAAGAGCCCGCGAGGCTTGACATGGGCTGACCCAAGCCTAGGCCCAAGCCTAAGTTGGCTAGACCGGGCCAAATTTACACCCCTAAAAGTGGGTGATGGTGGTAGTTAAAGTGGGTTTGGTTGGTTTTATAGAGAGAGAAGATTAAGAGAGAAGGATATGGCAAATAAGGATAAAATAGGCATTTGGAAAAATTAATTGTTTATATTAGGTGTTTTTGTTAGTTGACTTAATAGTTGACTAATGGAAGGGTTAAATTGTAGTGCAAGTTTAAATCTTAAATAGAGAATGTAATTTTCAAAATGTGAGGAGTACTTGTATTAAAGATAAATCTGAAGAGGTGTCAGTGTAACTTACTCATTAAAAAATTGTTACTTTTAGGGAAATTTTAGTATACACACCCCTTGAAAGAGGTATACTATATGCACCCCTAATTATGCTATTTTTTCTTTAGAGAATGGGATCACTGCTGTGCCTTTGTTGTGCCTCATTTTGTGATGTATTATGGATTTATTTTTATAATCTGAATCGTTCATATTGTAAGGTTTGTTGAGTACTTCATGCCAACCAAAAATCATATTAATCGGATACCAATAATTATATGATTGATAACCAAAAAAATAAACAAGAAGTTTTTTTTTTGAAAAATAGTATAAAAATATGTAATTCGATCATATAGTTATTAATATCCGATCAATATGATTTTTGATAGGTTTGAAGTACTCAACAAATCCTACAAAATGAACGGTTCAGATCATAAAAATAAGCCCATAATGCATTTCAAAATGAGGCACAACAGTGACTGCTGTGCCAAAGGCACAACAGTGACCCCAAGTCCTTTCTTTAGTTATGACCAATTTTCTTCTTTAGTTATGATATTATTTTAGTTATGACACATGAGATCTTTGATTATGCCTCATGTAGTGTTTGGTTTTGACTTATTTATTATTTATTTTAGTTATGACTTAAAAAATATAAAATTATATCATTTTCTTCTTTATTTATAAAGTGCTTCATAAAATAATATATTAAAACATCTAATTAAATATATATCTTCTTAATTAAGTCTTGTCTAAACAAACAATAGAGAGGAGTCAAAGTCCGACTTCTTCTTCCTTTCTTTTGCCTTCTAACAAACTTTTTCTGTCACTTCCCTTCTCTTCCCCTCAATCCAATTTTGTTTGTTAAGTTTGATGAGTTGTATACATGAGGTAAGATTCTTCAAATATCTATAACTAATTTGAATACTAAAGTATAGAAAACAACCATCGATACTTAGGTTTGGTTTATGCAAGAGTGAGCTTAAGGTTTCATACCCAAATCTAGTGTTCTTCAAGTGCTTGGGTCCTATTGCACAAAACTAATCTCCACATAACGTATCATCTCTAACTTATAGAAAATAATTTAAGAAAAGAATTTAATACCTTTTGTGGTGATATAGTCATTTATTTGTTCTCTAATTTTGGCTAATGGTAGTTGTTGGACTCCATGATAGTTGAGTTTTATAGTTATTATTTAGACATTGACTCTCCCATTTGACATAGTGCTTCTCATATTTGTAATTACTCTCCCACTGATTGATAAAAAATAATAAATAAATAAATAAAAGATTTTTGGTTTTTCTTAGCATTTGAAATGCATCTATTTTAGCATCGAAAACTTGATCATCTCTCTAGAGCAATGGCCTATTAGTGGTTTAGGCTTCTAATTCTTTTAGCAATTACTTTGTCTAGAGTCTTATGTAGCTTGTTTCAACATGTTTTTATTACTTTCTAATATTTAGATTTGAGTTTAAGTACTCAAATTCATTATATTTTACTTTTTTTTGTGTGTGTTTTAGCCGGGAATTAACTTAATTAGCAGATTACTTTGTTTAGAGTCTTACATTTTTTTTTATGTCACCCGTTTTGACATGTTTTAGCCGGGTAATTTGGGATGATCTAAATAAGTGTACTTTTTGACTTTTACGAAAATGTGTACAGAAAAGTAGAGAAGTGATGTGATGAAAAAAAGATAAAAAAATAGAAAGTGTGTACTTATTAGTACACTAACAAGGCTTACTTTCTAATATTTAAATTTGTGCTTAAGTAGTCAAATTCATTAATTGTTACTTTTTTTTATGGTGTGTTTAGCCAGGAATGAACTTAATTAGCAAATTCTTGTTATAAATAAAGTTGTATCTTTCAAGCCAAGCATTATTTTTGAATTTTAGAGAGGATTTCTCTAAATTGTGTCAAATGTTTTAAGTATTCTTATAATAAAATAGTAAAATGTTAGACTATTTTATATCAACCTCATTGGCGTTTCTCTTATTGATAATCAGAAATTGTTCATTGTTAAATTTTTTTTATAGAATCATTTATCATAATAACATGACAATTATTATTATTATTATTTTAAGGGATAAATTACACTTTGCACCCCTATATTTTACACAAAATTTCATTTTAGTCCTTACACATCAAATTGTGACACTTAATCCCCTACACTTTTGGTCAAGTGTCACATTGGCCCTTCTGTTAATAGTGAGGCTAACAGAAATTATCCTTTAGGAAGCTAAGTGTTACAATTTTGATGTGTAGGGATTAAAGTAAGATTTTGTGCAATTTATCCTCACATAGTTTTCATGTGACTAACCTCTGTTAACAATAAGGATAACAGAAGAGTCAAAGTGACCCTTGACCAAAAGTGTAGGGGTTAAATGTCACAATTTGATGTGTAGGGACTAAAGTATGATTTGATATAAAGTGTAAAGGTGCAAAGTGTAATTTATACTATTTTAAAATATAAGATATTTGAATAAATTTCTAGTTTTAAAGTGATAAATCTATAATTCAATACATCATTCTATATATTTATATATATATTGATTGGCTATTTGTATTTGTGATAATTTCTAAGTACTTGTCAAATGAATGTTTTTTTCAAGAGTGGTCTGCATCACTGTGCTCAGTTGCATTTTTGGTACAATAATAATCCCAGTGGTGTGTTGTTTGGTACAATAATATTCCCAGTGGTCGTGTGTTGTCAGACATGTAATGTTAACCATCACTATGTAATGTTTCATATTTCTTTTTTGGGGGGTAATTGCACCGATTTTGGGGGGAATAAATAATTATAAATTTATGAAAAAATTTATAATTTTAATTATTTTTATAAAATTATATTGATTTGATATTTTCTTTTTCTTTTCTCTTTCTAATGGTAAGTAACATAATCAGCAACTTGTTAAAATTCTGGAGTCGTTTTGCAAGTGATTAGTGGGATTTTGTTAGTTTGGATGAAATATATATATATATATATAATATTTTTGGACATTTGGTACAATAGAAAATCAAAATTAATAGAAAATATTTTTTATAATCAACAGAAAATAAATTTATTTGGATAAAAAAATATTTTTCACTTTTAAAATTAAGAAACATTTTGTAGACTACAGTCTTACCAATGTTATCGCAGGACCACCGCCACTATTACCTTCACAACTACACCACCATCGACATGGCCGTCGCCATCGCTAGCACCATCGCCTTTGCCACGTCACCACCTCCACCATCACCACTTTGAAAATTTTTTTTCGTAAAAAATTCTTTTTGTTAGAAAATGTTTTATGTCTAAACAAATAGAGCGTTCGTTATAATGTTAAAAATTATTTTAAAAATTATTTTCATTCACTCTACATTTTGCGTGTTTTACATAAGAAGTCAAAAATATTCTCAAATATATTAAAACATATTAGTCCCTCCATCTTAAAATATTAATCCCTTATTCTATTTTTTATTGTTCTAAAATATTAGTCTGTTTTCAAAAATCAATGATTAAAATAACATAAATTTTCTATTTTACCCTTCTTTTAAATTTATTAACATTATTTGAAGTGTAATAATTATACTACTAAAGGATAATTTTGAAAATTAATATTTTTAAATTGTAATAATCGTACTATAAAAAAAGGATTAATATTTTTCACCTTATATTTTTAGTCAAAAAAATGAAAAAAAGTGACTAAGGCTTCGTTTGGGAACATGTTTTTTTAGTAATTTTTTAACTTTTTGACTAAAATATAAAGTAAAATGTTTGGAATGATTTTTTAATTTTTTACGAAAAGATGTACAAAAAATAAAAAAAATAAAATCTTTAACCTTTTAATATAAATTATAAATTATTTAATTTTTTTAATAATTTTTTAACTTTTAAACTAAAACTATTAGGTTCCAAACGAAGCGTATAACGTTCACTTCCCAAATGCGCTCCCCATCTACATCTGAATTGATTGATATATGACACCCTACCTTGATGGAATATTTTATTAAAATACTTAATTACAAATATAATAAATAATTTAGGGAAAATTATTAATCAGGTGATTTTTAAAAAATTATCTTGAATGATTAAAATATAACAATAGTTACAACGTTTAAAATGATGAGAAACAAACAAAATAGAAGATATTAAATTTTTCTCTAAAAGAATTAAACCCGCAACCTCATATTATAAAGCGATACAACCAATAAACCAAAAACATAATTTATAGTGTTTAATAATTCTAGTAATTGTGAAAAATTAAGCATAATTTTTCCTCAAAAATTATATGTAAGGTGTAGATTTAAAGTTAATATTGAGTCACATCTAAAACAAATCTTATTTCATATTTCATTTCTAAATAAATTTTTGAGTAATTTTTTTTAATATATAATGCAAATGTATAGAGTTTATTTATTATAGTGTGGAACATGTCATATAGATTCATTGATTGGGGTGACTCACATGAGACCTATTGCAATCAGAAAGTGAAATGTTGTATGCCATATGAGATTTCATCCACTGATTAGTGTGACTTCAGGTGTGATCCAAACGAATCAATGACTGAAATACTATGTGCTACGATGCTTCATAAATTAATTTTTTCATCCATGTAACCACCTATCCACCTCTTTTTAGAGCATATTGTCTTAAGAACCAAGCTTCCTTTCCTTGTATAGATTCTTCTCATGAATCATAATAGTTTGGTAACAACTTTAACAAGGCATTGTCTAAACTAATCCATTTTAGCCCATCTAGGTTTTAGTTGGAAGAATCCTTTTAATTTTCAGCCAAAAAACTTTTCAGGCCTGAAATTTATAACAAGATGTTAATTTGCAATTGTGTAGATTGCAATAAATCTGATTAAATTACTGATTTTCCCTTCTATCAATTACACATTCACGATTATGCCCTTACCACACCACCCTCACAAGTGCACTTATGTATTATTTTCAAGTATGTAATTTACACAAATTGGTTGACTGAGAACATACAAAGTAGGTACTCCTAATCCAATGCATAAACAACAATCACATATCTTGCAAAGTTCTAATTGCTCCTAGTATTTTGATTTCATGGGAACTATATATATACACAAACATAGAATACCCCTGAAAATGGTTTATACAAGCATGATTGGAGGGTAAAATGGTTACAAACCCAACCGCGGACACATATATCTGTATAGAAGATATATAATGTTGTTCAATATCTTACTACTGTGATAATATTCAAGAAAACAAGCTTTCTACAACAACTAATTATGTGGGATACACTCAATCTTAATAAAGATTGATGCAGACTTTAATTGTACATTATACTCATTACAACATTGCTTTTGTTCACTTAATGAGCCACTAGAATGAAGAAAAACATTCATGTTCTGATGAATTTGAGTCATCACATGGAGAGTGATTGTGTCTACCTTCATACGTTGTTATCACCATTCGACAATCTTCTGATAATCGTTCAACCCGTTTCTTCACTCGACAATTACTATGCGTACAACGATAATAGCTCCTGCAAACAATCTAATAATTGAGGAAACCAAATGATAAAAAAATAAATAAAGAAATAAAAGAAAAACAACAATAGGATCTATTATTTGTGTAATATGCCTACACTTGTTAAGCGTAATTAATAACAAAAACAACATCAATCTAGTTGATTAAATTTCGAAAAGCTTGTAGATAACATTTCTTCTCAAACCCCTATATAAGTAGAATTTAGCATTCCTAGAAGAAGGTGAATAGACCAAACTCTTGATTCAATTTCCAATGAAAATTAACTCAATAGGTTATTAATTTTAACAAACCAAATTCAACATATATCAATTAATCATACGACATCCTCACAAATAAAAATAAAAATAAAAACTTCCACCGAATAAGTTAAGACAAATGAGTTATTATCCTAGCTGGGAAGCGTTTAGCTATGACATCCTACATTCAAACTCATAAGATTGAACTCTAATCACAAACGGCTTTGACATGCTCGTTAGGATTCTCTTGTCTAGATCTGTACCTATTGCGATTTTGATCACAATCGGCTATGCACTAAGAGTGGTTTAAGGGGTTAATTGTGCATGTGGTTTTTCATCATCATCAAATTATTTTGCAGATCAATTCTTATGCATCTAGCAAACTAGGTCTCCTTTCCTTCCACAAATCTATAAACAAAACTTTGACCCCGATTGCACATTTTTTCTACAAAAAATGACATAATCTGAATCCTGTAACAATCTAAGATATGATCAAAGTATAGAATTTAAATTAAAAAATTGACTATAACTAATATAAAAAATAAAAAAAAAATCTAGGAAACAAACAACCCAAAAGCACTAGTTTTTCTCTATTATCTTAGTTCAACATTTTAAATCCTACACTCAAAATTCAACACTCACAACCATATAATCATGAAAACATCAATTATTTTTATTTTTATTTTATTTTTTTGCTTCGCAAAGGAAGTTTATATATATTAAGATGAAATGAACAACCCAAATTGTTTTGAAAAGCTAAAACAAAAACTTGTAAACCCTTACCTCAAAATTTTAACATGGAATTGAAATTCTTTAGACCTAGAGAAATTTGTGTGTTGACTCCAAAATTTTTAATCCTATGTAACCCTTATTTGAATATCTTTATGATGCAAGCATATGTTTAATTATACAAACAACATAGTAACATTCAAATATGGTATTCAGATATGTACTAGTTGTCAAAGATATCATAGTTAAATTCTAGCATATATATATATATAAATATATGTATTTTTTCATCGGGGGGTAAATCCGTAGCACTTAGTCATGCTATTTGAAAAATAAAAAATTTATTGTGATCAACAAAAAGAATTTTATTAACTCGATAACTATTTGCTTCAAAAAATGTAAATTTTTATCAACTGCGGTGAAATAAATAAACTTCATTGGAGATTTATGGTGCAGTAATTATGTCTTAACTGATGTTTCCAAAGCATTTGTTAGCCAAAAACATGAAACAAATATAAATGCTATTCCACACTAGGTTGTACCAAATGCTACAAGTAAATATAGTTGGTGAACATAAGATTAACGGTAGTGCTAGATGCACCAATTAGTGTACTAACTAGTGTACCAACATTAGTTATGACATTATTATTGATCCCACTCATTAATCACATTATAAATACCAAAAACTTCTTAAATTATGCCACATCATCAATTGGTACACTAGGCAGTACGTTAATTAGTGCATATAGCATTTGTTAATTTCATCCAACAGGATTAAGCAGGGCAATTGTTCTAAGTGAACATGTTTTCCTTTCCAAATAGCTAGCCATATGTGCATGAGCTCAAAGGACTCATAACATTTTTTTTTTTATCAAAAAAATAAAGTTTTTATTGATGTAAAATGCAATACAAGTAGTTCAACAAAATTATATCAATAAGAAAGGACTAGGCTAAAGTACATCAAAAAAATTATATCAACTCATAACATTTTAAGCCTAAGGTAGGGACCGAGTACAAATTGTGGTTGCAAAATGTAAACTCATTAATTTTGTGAAAACATCAAAATTTTGTGACTTTTGAAGCTTAAAAAATTTTGTGAAATGTCAAGAGGATGGATTGACAAATTTTGGTAACAAAATTTAAGCTGATGAATTTTGTGAAAAAACCAAAACTTGTGAAAACGTTAAAGTAGACTTACAAATTTCATATGATGATGTTTGAGACAAAGGGTATGACTGCTGATAAAAAAAAATAAAAAGAGGATTAAAAGGTCTTATTCGCATCACATACTTACCAATTTTAATTTCATTTATTCTATGTTTTCACAAGAATTCTACTTCACCAACAAAGAGGAAGAGTTATATTTGTCAATTAACAAGAACAAGGGAAAGACCTAAAAAAAAAAAAAAAAAAAAAAAAAAAAAAAAAAAAAAAAAAAAAAAAAAAAAAAAAAAAAAAAAAAAAAAAAAAAAAAAAAAAAAAAAAAAAATTATTGTGATCAACAAAAAGAATTTTATTAACTCGATAACTATTTGCTTCAAAAAAATGTAAATTTTTATCAACTGCAGTGAAATAAATAAACTTCATTGGAGATTTATGGTGCAGTAATTATGTCTTAACTGATGTTTCCAAAGCATTTGTTAGCCAAATATAAATGCTATTCCACACTAGGTTGTACCAAATGCTACAAGTAAATATAGTTGGTGAACATAAGATTAACGGTAGTGCTACATGCACCAATTAGTGTACTAACTAGTGTACCAACATTAGTTATGACATTATTATTGATCCCACTCATTAATCACATTATAAATACCAAAAACTTCTTAAATTATGCCACATCATCAATTGGTACACTAGGCAGTACGCTAATTAGTGCATATAGCATTTGTTAATTTCATCCAACAGGATTAAGCAGGGCAATTGTTCTAAGTGAACATGTTTTCCTTTCCAAATAGCTAGCCATATGTGCATGAGCTCAAAGGACTCATAACATTTTTTTTTTTATCAAAAAAATAAAGTTTTTATTGATGTAAAATGCAATACAAGTAGTTCAACAAAATTATATCAATAAGAAAGGACTAGGCTAAAGTACATCAAAAAAATTATATCAACTCATAACATTTTAAGCCTAAGGTAGGGACCGAGTACAAATTGTGGTTGCAAAATGTAAACTCATTAATTTTGTGAAAACATCAAAACTTTGGGACTTTTGAAGCTTAAAAAATTTTGTGAAATGTCAAGAGGATGAATTTACAAATTTTGGTAACAAAATTTAAGCTGATGAATTTTGTGAAAAAACCAAAACTTGTGAAAACGTTAAAGTAGACTTACAAATTTCATATGATGATGTTTGAGACAAAGGGTATGACTGCTGATAAAAAAAAAATAAAAAGAGGATTAAAAGGTCTTATTCGCATCACATACTTACCAATTTTAATTTCATTTATTCTACGTTTTCACAAGAATTCTACTTCACCAATAAAGAGGAAGAGTTATATTTTGTCAATTAACAAAAACAAGGGAAAGAACTAATGACTTGTTCAGATTTTAAAATTTGAAATACTTATTATTCTTTTCCCATAAAAAAAAAAAAGTGTTTGTACTTATTTAGATGATCCTGTGGTTGAATACAGAGTTGGTGACATTAATAAGCATGTAATTAAGAAGAGGATGACTCATTAATCATTTATGCATGTAGCTAAGAAGAAATCCTTCTACCTACGGTGGCCCAGTATTAAGGAGTATATGGTAATTTTCAGAGATTCCATATTCAACTTTAACAGGCACAAAATATTTAAGCTTAACTGATATGCGTAATTTATAAGTGATTGCATGTATCCAAAACTTATTCATAAGATATTATACTAAACGAAACGATACATGTGTTGAAATTCTCCGCCATAAAAATAAAAATAATAAAAAATCAACCTTTAACCTCCATTTCTTGGAATACATGCATTCATTGAATTACAACTTTTTTGAGTTTCACACACTCACTCTCTCTCTCTCTCGCCTCTTCCTAGTCCGTCACAGGGACAGATGTACATGAGGGTCAGGAGGTCACGTGCCTCCCTCAACTTTTAAAAAATTATTCTTCTGCCTCCAACAAAAATATATATTTTAATTTAATCCTTTCAAGTAATATCTATCACTATTTTCTTTATCTTTTTTCTTAAATGTTTAATTTCGCACTTTAAATGTTTAATTATGCTATAAATTTCATATTAGAGAAATGTTATACGTCACCAATTTTTTGTCACTATTTTATATCACTTCTTATATAAATACTCATAATTGATTCACTTGTTTACATATAATTATTACACAATTAATGACAACTAATAATATATTACTACGTAATTCAGTAATTCAAAACAGTGAAAAAAATAAGTGATATATAGCCACCAAAGTATATAATTTATTTACCTTTCTCTCATTTGTTTATCTATCCCTCTCTATGCCTCATTTTTGTGTATGCATCTTGATATAATTTTATTATCATATTTTATGAGAGCATGTGATTATTTTTTAAATTGTGATGATCATCATACATTTTTTTTTGATCAGCAAAGGAAAATTTCATTAAAAGCATGAAATTAAAGGTACAGGAAGATAATGATCATCATACATAAAATGAAATTAATAACAACAAAGATAATGATCAATTAACTTGAGCTTATATTTAAATATAGCTTTCATATCACACTTATTTTTAGTTTTATCATCAAATAAATTTTAGATTAAATTTGATTTTGATTTTTGTCAAGATTTCAACTTAATGATGGTTCTTTTGAGCTAAGGTCATGGTTCCGTCACTACTATCATGTTGGAACCCTTTGTAGTTACATTGGTTTTGGTGTTTTCTTTCAAAGACAAATCTCTCTGCCTCCTTCTCTAAATGGTGCAGTCCATTTTTTATGCCTACAAATAATAGACGATGACAACAAAACTAGAAGGATATATAAATAAATAAAAAGACTTCTTGGATTGGCTCAAGATTGGATTGATGAGAATCGTCAACAAAACATGATTTTGTAAATAATTGAAGGCAAATCATTTTGTTCTCGCGTCTCGTTTAGTTAGATCAAATCCTTTTGAAGGCAACATTATAAACATAATGCTACCTAATGACAGTACAGAACTACAAGTACTTATCAGTTGGTGAAATAAGAAGTTTTCTTCACCTTCATAATTAATATGCAACTAATTAAAGTCCAAAACATGTGAACTGGTGTACCTAAACTTGATATTTCTAAATGGACATGATTAAACATTGCTGAAGAAACCATTGAATCATACAAACAATTAATTCTTTTGATTATTCAATTTGATAAATTGCCTGGTTAGCCTTGTTAGAATTGAATATTCGCCTAAGTGAATTTTGCAAAAACTCATTATTTTCCATCTTCTTAACTTGATATCTTTGTCAGCTTTGAATTCTATCAAATATTATATGCTTTATAAGATTATACTTGTACTCTTTTCTAAAAGTGTTCAATATATTGTCGGTCTTCAAAAGAATCCGCAATGCTTCATTTTGATCCAGATATTTTAATTGTATCAATATAATCACTAACTTACCGAATTTATGTTTAAATGGTCCCAGTTCCTTTTCTGTCCAAATTTTTATTCAAAATTGGTTTAAATTTGGACAAAAATACCCCTACTTCCGTATAAAATTTGATGGAGACTTTTTAAATACAAATTTGATAAGTTAACGATCAAATTAGACAACAAATTTAGAAAAGTTAATTGTTAACCATCAATTTTACAATTTCCATGCATCACATAATGGTTTCAGCTCAATCTTGCAAAACATGAAGTAACAGTCCAATCCAATATACACGCTAATTAACTATATAAATTTATAGTTGATAAAATTCTTACCGTCGCAAAAAAAAAAAAAAAAAAAAAACCTATATATATTTAAAGATTAATAGTTTCAGCTCTTTTTTACTTTTTTGGATCAACAAAAGAAAATTTATTAATCCCTCAATGCCAAAGCCAATATTTCTCACATGAAAACACTAATAAATATTGAAACTATGGAAGCCAAGCTACATCATAGCTAGGCTAGAATATAGCAACGAGGTTGGCACTAGAGGTGAACAGCGGATATATCGATCCGTCAAAACCGACCGAACTGAACCGATCCACTGTACTTTGGACGGATGCGTGATGACGAGCGGACGGTTGCGGATCGATTTTCTCCAATTCGCCAATTTGGCAGACGGATGGCGGATTTGAGATTCCTTTGGCTATAATCGAACCGCCAAACCGCGAGCACCCTTAATAATTTATAAAACTTTGTGTTTTCAATTTGTTTAAATATTTTATTTGTGTTTTCAATTGAAAAAAAGTTTAAATATTCTGTTGAAAAAAAAATTCAACTTGAATATATTTTTTGAATTGAAAAAAATAAATGTATTATTTATCTATATTTTTTAGTTTTTAAATCTAACTATATATAGATGTAACAATACAAAGACATAAAATCTCTACTACTGTTCTGTTCATGATTTTGGTGGTTTGAATTGTTTTTATATTTTAAGAACCACAGATTGTAATAATTTATGTGGATGAATCATGCTGTGATTGTAATATGCGAATGAGGCATGCAATGATTGTGATATTATAAAGTTTTAAACTTTCTTTCTTTAGATAAGACATACAGTTATTGTAAAACTTTTTTAAGTCATTGACTGTAATATTTTTTTTTTTTTTGAGGAAGTGCACAAGTTGAATTATGTTGAAAATTTATAAAATTTTAAACCGTCAAACCGATTCGCATCCATCCGCCAAACCGTCAATCCGCTCAATCCACATCCGCTGGATTGGCGGACGGATGCGGATTGATTTTTTCTAATCCGCCAATCTGACGGACGAATGGCGGATTGGAGGTTCCGTGGCCGTAACCGACCTACACCCACCCTAGTTGGCACCCTCTAGCTAGCGGAATCATATGCAAGCCCATTAAAACACTAGATTGATAGTTAGCAATAGATCAGCAAATGCCAAAAACAGAATCAACAAACCAGAAGAAAGGGGAAATCAAATTGCTAAACAGTGTACATTGTTCTCTACTTGCTAATCATGCTTCAATGTACTTGCACCAAAATGAAATACTTGTAGACTTTCATTCATTATTAATTTCATATATCAAACAAGCTCAAAAAGAAATGAAAAATCATGGTAGAACTTAATATTGTATTATTATACTCTTTGCTTTGAGTTTAATAAAAATTTATCTTTTTTTGCTCATAAAAACAAAAATGTACAACTAAAGGAGAGAGAGAGAGAGAGAGAGAGTACCTAGGATGAAGGCTATTCTTGACAACTTTTTGTCCATATTTCCTCCATTTGTAACCATCATCAAGAACATCCACATCACTTCTTGTTTGGAAACAAAACCTTGGCTCTCTCAGTTTTCTCCTCACTTTCACCTTGCTCTTCTCTGAGCTTGAACTCCTCCACCTGTTCAATTAATCCAAATTAATTACCCACTAATATTCATCTCCATTAATCTCTTACTTTTTGTTAAATACACAATGAACTTAATAGAAACGAAAAAACCAGTAATGGAAACTTGAAGATAAAGTGGTGATGGATGACATGTAGACTTGGGTGTCAATGAGTAGCAAGCCTATAGAAATAGTAGGTCTAGTACTCATTCCTTCTCACACACCACAAGAAAAGAGAGAGAGAGAGAGAAAGGACATGTTGTACAAAAGTATATTCTAACCAAATTCAAACATATAGAGAACCAGATCTCCTTAGATTTTGGGAGAGCAAACATACCTCTCTCTTACACACAGGCACAAAGAGAGAGAGGAGCGAGTTGTCCTCACATAATATCACTGTTATATTTAATATTTGTCCAAAATAAATATTTGTCCAAAACAAAAAATATTGTAAAATAAAAAAAAGTTTAATGTGACGCAACCAAACTCAGAGATCTATTTTATATATGGTTAGGTTTCTTTAAGAGAGAGAGAGATTAACACCTAGGGAAAAGCTAAATTGAAAAGGGTTTGGAGAAGAGAGTACCATGAAGTGCTAGCATCGTTGGCATTACCACTGCAATTCTCATCATTAACAGTCTTGGGATCCAATTGCCCAACCTAAAATAATATTAAGCATAAAATATAAAATTAACAAGCAATTCTTTAAAGAAATTCCAATTAATAAGACAGATTAATAATAATAAATTGCGGGGAGAAAAAAGGACAAAAACACGTATTATAAGCCTACATATCAGCCTATAATATTGGCAAAATTGAACTATAAAATACCAAGATTAACAAGAATTTATATAATAATATCACAACAAAGAAAAAAACAAAATTTAAAATTTAGAAAACAAGAAAATTACCCTTACAAAAACTATATTAACATGCGATACATAAAGAATTTTAACAACCTGGTCATTATTCCAAGCAGGTCTGTTATGGCTAAACCCCATAGCGTTGTTGTCATCGTTGTCGTTGTCGTTGCTGCGGTGGTGGTTGGTGGTGGTGCCGCCACCGCTAAGAGGCTGAGATATCTGAGAAGGCTGTTGTGAAGGAGCCAAGAAGCTCATAACCTGGTTATGATCTTCAAATTGTACAAACCCCATTTCTTGAATTGCTGGCGGGGCAGCGAAAGATACTTGCAGCTCGTAGCTCGGTAACCCTCCTCTTTCTGCTTCCATTTTTGTGTTCAAACTAATACTTTTGACAGATTTTTTTTTTGAGTTTTTTGTACGTTGCTCTCTTGCTTGTTGATCTTCTTGTTTAGTGGATGATACATGTGTATAATGTGTAAAGGGTATTTTGGGGTCAACTAGTAAACGCTGGATGGAATGTATATCGGAAACTATTCCACCCTCTCATCTTCCTAGGGCTTTTTGGACTCCACATAGAAGACATGCATAGTATATTTCTGACTCTCTATCTCTCTCTCAATAAAATACCTACAAAGTTCAATGAGAAAAGGAAATATGACTGTTTGAATACTATTGTGTATGACTGTTTTGGGGTTTGGGGATGCATATGATTGGTCTAGCTTTGGGTGTCAACTTAGCTGGGATGCTTAATTTAAATAATGTTGTATTTTTTTTCCCTAGTCCATGTTGTATTTATGCTTCATTTTTAATAAAGTTTGGTTGCTTGTTTAGCTTTCCATTTTTGGAAAAAAAAAAAAAAAAAAAAAAAAAAAACTTAATTGTTTAAAATATGAATAGAGAAAATAAATTGAGCAAGCTCATGTTGGAATTATAATGAAGTTAGTAAATTAGTAAAATAATAAGATGTAATATAAATAATAAAGTTCTTATTCTGTTTAATATTTTAAACTTTTAGATTGATTAAAAATTAAATTTAAATATGACAGTATTTTTGTTTCTGAAAAATCTAGAAATCCCCTAGATGTTGATTTGTGATTATGTATCAATTTTAAGCAGAATATAACAATCCCAATCAAACAATTAAGACAAAGAAACACAACGATTTTACGTGGAAAAAACCACAATTGGACACCTCCAACTGTGATAAAAAAACCACGGGCAACAGCCACAAAACAATCCACTAAGAAGATTTAAAGGAATTACACAGGTATACTCTCAATTACCTAGCGAATCCACAACGCCTAATTGAACCAACCTTTATGTGCCTCTTCCAACCCCATCTTCACCACGGAATTGTCTTTCTGATGAGCCACCCCGGAATCCACCAAAGCTTCAGGCTCGAATTCTTCAGAATCCACCGAAGAACAACTCTCTCTCTTGTAGAACAAAACACAACCTTTGATGTACTCTATTTAAGCCATGAGTTGAATACTCAAGAAAAACATCAAAGAAAACTAGCAAAATCTCTCCAGATATAAACCTTAAGATCCAAAAATAAGATCTGGAGAAGTTCAAATCAATCACCTAGTTTTGGGAGAAAACCAAGTTTTTATAGGGAACCAAAAAGTAATCCTAGATTGGGCAGAAAACGAACTCTTTATCAAATCTGGCAATCTGGATTCGCGCGGTCCGCTCGAGCGCCCTTTTCCTCGCTCGAGCGGAGACTTCAAATTCTGTGATTTCATACAGGCTCCACGCTCGAGCGTCGGTTTTGCCGCTCGAGCGGCAAATCACACTATCCAGTACTTTTGTAGGCGACTGTAGAGATGCTGAGAGCTTCCAATCCCCGCTCGAGCGTCCCTTTCCCGGCTCGAGCGGGAAGGCCAAAATTGGAAAAACTGGAAAAATATAACATGATCTGACAGGCAACTTTGAATGCATTTTTGCATTTTGCTTCTGGCCGCGAGCTGACCGGGCAGCTCGACCCTCGTAATAATCAGCGAAGTGGCAATCTTGAAAATATTTGCATCACAAACTTCTCTGAAAGGCACAATTCGAGTTGGATTCGCATCTAACAACACATAGCCTCACTGAAATAAAAATGCGAATAAAATTACAACTCAAAAGGAGTTTTGTCAAACGAGAATGCCAAAAAATAAAACCTAACAGTTTCGAAAAAAAATACATTACAAGTATTTTTGTTTCCAATCATGAAAATTTTCAAAACATCTATATTTAACTAATGAAAAACAGAATTTTCTTATTGAAATATCATCAAGAATGATGTAGCATTAATGTCTTGAAATCATGATTGCAATTGATAGGTGTATTTATTATTATTATTATTATTATTATTATTATTATTATTATTTACTTTTTTTTTTGAGAAATAAGAAGATCAGCATGAATTATATCATTTTGTATAAAGATTTTGCATTACTCTTTACCAAATTTGATACCGGTTTAGGTTGAACAAAAATATTTTTTCCAATGCATGAATTGTTTACTTTTCTTGAAATTAATTCAAGATATTTGCTTTACTACTCATGGGTAGGAATATTTTTTTACTTTATAATAGTAAATGATATTGGTTTTCTTTGTCTTTTTTTTATATATTTTTGTTTTTACAAAATTTTTCAGTCATTTAAGTAATTTCGCTTTAAACGTGTTCCCTGGTGTCGGCTTATCCATACGTTGGATAATCATAATTTGCCAAGAAAATAAGCATGTTTGTTTTTTATTTCTTCTTTTCTACACAACTCTATATGGTCATTTACGTAATTTTCCTACAAACGTGTCTTCCGTGTCGGTTAATTCATACGTTGGATAATCATAATAATTTGTCAAGAATATTATCAATTACTTTGACACAAAGAAATGGATTTCATTATTCTATTATAAATTAGAAGAGATTTTGTTATTTAGAGTGTGAAACGGTGGGAAGTTTATATTAAGAGAAGAATGTTGATTGTTTTCATTTTTTTCCTTGCATTGGAAAATAATTTAGATTGTTATTTTAAGATTGTCCAGATAAGTACATGGGTTACATTTTTCTTTCAATAAGAGTAAAATGTTTGAAACCAAAGGTACATATTTATATGAGATTCCACACTCTCGGTTCTTCAATTCTTCCTATCCAACCCAAAATGTCACGTAAGAGTAAAGTGTTTTTTCGCCCTCATCTCCCGTTGTAATATTATCAATAAATTATTACTTTTTTTTGTTAATCAAAAAATAATTAAAATAATCCAAAATGTCAATTTTTGGTGGCAATACTCAAAAAACATGTACTCCTACTACTAAAACCAAATGAAGTAAAACACAAAAATAGTAACAACAAATTAAGGGGGAAAAACAACTACTCCTACTACTAAAACCACCAACTAAACTTACATTTATACTTAATCAATATGAACATTTATAAACAAAATAAAATGATAATGCCATGGTATATATAACTGTCATGAAAGTTCAATGAGATATGCAATTATTTAACAATGAGTAGTACCTAATTGTGGTTAAGTTATGGTTTGTTCAGTAGTAATTTTCTCATGTATGTAACAAATTAGACAAATTAGTTAATAAAATTCTTCTTTGTTTTTCTTCTTGTAATATGAGAGAGAGAGAGAGAGTGTCTGTTTGGTTATGTTTTTAAAATGTGATTCTACACCGAGTTTTGAATATGATGTTTGGAACGTGTTTTGGAAATACGTTTTCAAAACTCTGCAGAGATGTCTGTACTAGGCACGAGTTTCGGAATTTTTTTTTGCAAATTTTGCCTAACTGGTCGTTCGGCCGGTTGACTGGAATAGTGAATTTTTTTTTTTTGATATGTTAATTTTTATATGTTCAAAAAAAATATTTTCTGAATTTTTTAAAATTTTTTATATGCTTTAAAATAATTTTGAGTTGTACGTTTGATTATGAATTATAAATTGAGCCGTGATTCCGACCCCCAGTATGGAGGCACCCCCAGCACCCCCCACCCTCCACGTGAGGGGCTGGCAATGAAGAAGAAAAAAAAAAAAAAAAAAACGAATTTTTTGTACCATGGGAGGACGCAGCACCCCACTGGGTCCAACGTCATTTTCGTTAAATTTTTGTATCAAATATCAAATGTCACATTAATAATTCCTCACTCAATTTAAAATTATTTTTCAAATTATTTTCAAAACTCTTTACCAAACAAATTTTCCATACTCAAATCATAATTTCAAATCTCATAAACTTAAAATACAACTTATACACTCAAATCATAATTATAAAATTCTAGCCAAAACGTAACCTTTGTTTTTCTTCTTGTAATATGAGAGAGAGAGAGAGAGAGAGAGAGAGAGAGAGGGGGAGGGAGGGAGGGGGGGGGGGGGTGTGTGTGGTCGGGAGAGAGTAGAAGTCTAGGAAGCAATGAGTATTGGGGTCCATCAAAACTTCCATCAATGTCAAATTGTTGGATGGAAGTTGAAAGAAAGGAAAAACTGATAAGCCTCTAAAATCCTGACAAATCTAATTCCAATATAGATGCCATTATTTCCCTACCCACACCGAGGTTTTTTCTTTAATATTTAAAAAATAATAATTTAAAGAATTGATCCACTTTTTAAATTATTCAAAAAATTAACTTGTTTTATGAAATTGTATTTTGAAAATATAATTTTAAATTAAAAATCGTATTTTTAAAATGTAATTTCAATTTAAAATCGTATGTTGAAAATATAATATATCTTAGTGAAATTGAATGTTGAAAATGTGATTTTAATTTAAATTTTTTTTTTAAAATGAGATTTTAAAAAATAAATTAATTTTTCAAATAATTTAAAAAGTGAATAAATTCTCTAAATTGTTTTGTTGTTTTAAACATTTAAAAAAAAACACTCTACTCAGACCACCCCTTTCCTTTCCCTGCAAAAAGATGAACAAACTATCATAACTCCCACGTTTCATTGCAGGAAAAGCATCTCCTAGATGTTAAAATTATAATATATATATACAAGCATTGAGAATAAATTTTTAGATAAATTGATAATATATAATTTAATATAATATTAAAGCAAGTCATGTATTTTATATTTGAATTTCACTATTGTCCGATAATTAAAAATATATGCACATCTGCGTTAAAAATGTATGTTAAAATGTATTATATGATAAAAAATGATAAAAATGAGACCAAAAAATATGTGTTAAGAATTTGTTAATTTAGTGAATGAATGGTGATACAATAGATGTGTTAAGGTGTGTGTTAAGAATATATATATATATATATATAAAATAAATGAAAAGTGCAATGGGCCCCCACCCCACTGCACTATAAGAGCATGTTTGTTTTGAGGGATAAGAGGGTGGGATTGGACTATTAGTCCCACCGGACTAATAGTCCATTGTTTGTTTGAAAAATTTTGCTCCGGACTATTAATCCCACAAACATGGGACTATCCTATCCCATGGGGGGTGTGGGATAGAAACTATGGGATTGGTATCCCATGGGATTATTTTGTGAAATATCCATTTTACCCTCCATGCTATTACTTAGTGAACAATTAGAAAAGGGTAAAATAGTCTATTGTCGTTATTTAAAATTATATATTAAATAAAAATTATAAATTATAAATTAAATTTATTTAAAAATAATAAATAATAAATTATAAATTATGGCCTTATAAATTAAATTTTTTTAGTGTTGTTGAAAATTTAATTTATATATTAAATAAAATTATTTTTTTATTGTCGTTAT